AATGGCGTTTTAGTCGAAAAATGACGGGTTGATCACTTTTAGTGTGTTCAATGAGTGAAAAAGCTATTTGGTAAATAGATATTCGCCATTAGCATTCTTGGACGGAACGCTGAAATTAAAACGCTGCAAATATGAGAGTTTTGAGTTAGCGTTTTGAAATATAGCGTTTTCTACTAATTTTATGGCCAAACAACTAAATTATTAAACATCTTCCGACAACCCGCCAACTTATTCTGCTAGCCAAATTCGCCGACCTAATCCAACGCGCCGACTTGATACCATATTGCACTGAACAACTTATTCAACTAGCCAAATTGAAAATTTACATCAAAATTTAATAATTTTGTATATATACTTATAATCCGTATATAATTAAGTAGCATGAGTTAATTTTTAAATTTTATTATTTCATGATTTGAACAAGGACTTAAATGAAACCATGAGAAAAATACTTTAAATATTAATTTGTTACAAAAACATTTAACCAACTCATTTTTTGGCAGTAATTCTATAAGCATTTTCAAGAAGTACCTACATATTTCAGATTAAAATAAAAGTATTTAAAAAACATGACATCTTAGATGTGGTGACGATAATAGCAACTTTAGTCGAATTAATTTTTTGAATTTCTATACTTAAGAGATTACGTACGACACTATACTAAATTATTTTTTAGTCATATTTTTATAATTAATTTTCATTTTAGTAAAATGTTGATTTTTTCTCTTCGATCATGTGTAGCACTTGTGTGTTACGGAGGATTAATTTCTTAAGTGATACGGAAGATTAATTTCTCTACACGTACAAATAAAAAATCTGTAATATTTTTAAAATTTAAACTAGGAAAAGATGAAAAGGAATAAAAAATCCATAAGAAATTCACAAATATTAATCCAAAAGCATATTTGTAAAGAAATACGGAGTATGAAATTCCAGTCCTTTTCAATAAAAAATAGAGTAAGATAGATTTGTTAATAGTTATCCATTTATTAAATAATCTGAAAAATGATTGGTATTATTTATTTCAATTTCCAATAAACACCAGCTGCACACTTCATTTTTTGTCAATTCACGTGTTGAAAAAAGAGTGAAAAATCTATAGTATTGGTGTTCTGGTGGTAATAGCGTGTGGAACCCACGCATAGCTTTGTTCTTCGCACTGTGTTGCTTCTCTTCATGTTATTCATGTGGTAGATCCCACGTGCCTTGGAAGCCGTAAGTCTCACTCCTCATTAAATTATTTACTCCGTGCCCTAAATAAACTTTCAACTTTCCTTTTTTGTCCGTCCTAATTAAAACTTCCACTTTCCCTTTTTGACTAAGAATTTGTGGTTCACAATAATTCTTACACATTTCTCTCTTCTCTACACAACTCTCCACCACACAATACCCACTATCTTAAACTGTGTGTCAAACCTATTTAGAAGATAAATTAGGGACGGAGGGAGTACTTAACAATATTTTATGATGTCCTTCATTAATTTGTTTAATTAATTTTGATAGGCACAGGAGTGAAAAATGAGAAATATGTATTTACGTGAAGAAAGAAAACATAAATCACAAACGAGAAAACATTTTGAAAAAAGTCAAACGAGTTAATTTGATCAACCATTTATGGACACAACACACATCCATAGCCATATGAAAAGTCGTGGTACACGTCGGTACGGAGACTGTTCTATAAACGTCTTGGTAAATAAATAAAAGTCCGGGTGAACACAAAAATGTCTTTACAAAATCGTCTTGGTAACTTCAAAGCAGTGTTCTAAAAGGCGCCAAAAGGCGGCGCCAAGGCGAGCCTAGGCGTGAGGCGGCAACAAAACGACTCGCCTACCCGCTAAGCGTGTCAAAAGGCGGCATTTTAATAATAGCCTCCATTTTTCGCCCCGCATGTAGCGGTAATTGCCCTTCCAGACAACGAAGGCGTTGCCTTACGAAAAGAAAGGGAGATGGGGTCGTTTTATAGGCGTTTGTGAGGATGAATTCTCTATTGCGTCCGGTGTGGGAAGTTGGATGAAAAGGCATGTGTCGATCAACACAGCTGCAATTCAGTCAACTTTATGTTTTACTGTTTTAGTACTCCGTATTATACTCCTACTCCGTATTATATATTTTATACTCCGTCGTTTATCATTATACTACATAGTACATACTACAGTACTACACCATTTATGCGTATTTAATCTAGAGGTTAACAACCATTCCACTCCACACTAATTAATATATTATTTTATTGTATTATTATCATTATTGTCTTATAATCAGTGTTTTTTTACTAATATTAATACTTTGTCATTTAACTGCTTTTTCCAATTCTATTCTTTGTGTAATTAACTTAATTATATACTAACTACTAAAGTAGTAAAGTGTCATAATCTTTATTAAAATAATAGGGGTTATTAACTTAATCTAGCCTGTTTTTCTCTAAATCTATTGAATATTAATTTTAAATATTTGAAATATCCCTAGAAAAATCAAAATAATGGATAAAATATCAAAACGCCTTTTCACGCCTTAACCCCGCCTTAACCCGCCTAAGCTTCAAAGGCTTAAGGCTTGAGCGTGCCGCCTTGGCACGCCTTATGCCTTTTAGAACACTGCTTCAAAGTATGAAGTTATAGATAACTAAACTATCTAGAAAGAATAGGAATACAAAAAAAACAGTTCAATGCAGATCAACAGGCAGACTTTTTTGCAATCTTCTCGGTCTTGGCGATGGCTTCATCTATTCCTCCCACGCCTCCATCAAAAAGTCAAAGTTGTAAGTCACATGACTCAATCAGTAGTTGTAACTTCCATATAATCGTTGCAGATTTTGACCCTTAATTAATTTTTAACTTTTCCAACACTCAATCAATTGAGCTGCTCGTGCCATTTTCCTCCCACCATGTAAAAAATAGATCGTCGTACTTTCCACCTAAGACGCCCTGCTCATGAGAAAAATGTAATTTATTGATGAGAGAAATCTAAAAAATACTCCCTCCGTCCCGCTAAGATTGTCCCATTTTACCTTTTCGGCAAGTTCCACTAGGATTGTCTCATGCCAAATTTGATAAAGTTTGTGTGGCTCTAAATCATTCTTACTTTATTCTTATTTTATCAATTTAATATCAACCAAACAAATCTTTTTTTCTTAATAATCGTGCCACCTTCTCTTGTCACAATCTTAGTGGGACGGAGGTAGTACATTTTTAGTTGATAGATTCTAATTTAATTTGTTACACATTCATTGGGTGATTAAAAGCGGTCTTAAGTACCACATTTAGTCCCATCTTTTTAAAATGTACACCAGTTAAGGTGAAAAAGTGGTCTTCAACATTTAAACACCATTTAAGGTGGCCTCATCCATCTTTACCCAAGTGATGAAGGGTGTTTACCTATGAAAGCTGATAGCCAGTCTTTATGAAACAAATTTAGATGTCTAATGATGTTTTCTTTTGGACCGTTTTCAGTGCCAGATCAGACCAGACAAAACCTGAAATCCATAGTTATAAAATACACAAAGATCAAATGTTTACCAGACCAGCAAATTTCAGTCCAAAAGAAAACATCCTAAAACAAAAATCTTAAAGAAACCAGAGTATTTGTAACTGATAAAAGTCATATAATGTGAGACAGAGTGAGTACCATATGATTTTTAAGATTTGGGCTTCTATTTAAAGTCTCTAGTTAATTGATGTGAGACATGGCCCAAACCAGTTCTGAGTTCTATTCTAACGGGTTAACAGTTGCGAGGCATATACTTCAATCTGCCCCACAACTTATACCGGCCTGAACTACTAGAGCCAAACATAGATAGATGGATTTCCCTTAAAAAAATATTCATAATTCTGAAATACCCGGAAACTTGTAGGGGTGTTATGATTTGATTCTTAAAGCTGCTTCTGCACCTTCAGGAAGCATAAGTAGAAGTTAGAATGTTTGGATGAAAGTGCAGAAGTGATTCTGATGCTCTACTTTGGTCCTAGAACTAGAATCAATTTTTTTAGAAGCTGGGGGAGATCAGCTTCTGAAAACTGACTATGATTCTGCTTAAAAAAAACAGAAGCAGAATCAATTCCAAACATCCCCTTACACTCTCTTTCAACTCCACATATTTCCCAGGAGCCCAGTAAATACTTCTGCCACATGAAAAGGCTGACTCAAGAACCGCTGAATCTTTCACACACGAGCAACAGTGAGTTTACCATCTTCACTTAGCTCATCCATTCCCAGGATGGCAACAATATCCTCAAGGTTCCTGTAATTTTGGAGTACCTTTTGCACCCCTCGTGCAGTATTGTAATGATCATCAGCAAGACTATGGAGAGAAAACATGCAAGAGGTTGAATCCAAATTATCAACCGTCGGATAGATGTCAAGCTCAGAAATCTGTAGTACCTTTAGTATGTTTTTTATTTTCGCTAGAAAAACTTTCTTTTTGGACTCGTTTGGTATGAATGTGTGATAGTAAAATAAACAATTGGCACTCAAAGTATGGGGAAATAAACATTTTACACCATTTATTTTGATTATTTGATGTAAACTTGAGGACATTTTTTTAAAATACAACGTTTTCGTGTACATTTTGGCGCAGTGGTTTAAAATAATTCATTTAACCGCCTACTTGATTAAATTTTAAGCTGCAATTTAGTGAACATAAACTAGATTTGATGAATAGCATGCTCACAAAATTTCATAGACAAGCACCTCTGGCAGGCAAGTTCAGACGGGGCTTCCCATCAAAACTAGCTGAGCTGATCATTACTCTAGATATTAGTTGGCAATTTAGAGTATCACATAAATAGAACAAAGTTTAAGTGCATGTAAATGCAAATAAATGGTTACATATACATGATAATTTACAGAAAAATGGACTTATATGCGAAAATGGTAAAAGGGAAAAATTCCTGAAATATGACTAAATAGGTTTTGGATTTTCAAAATAAGAGCTATGAGTTTTTCCAAAACAGGGGTATATGACAATATTAACTACTACGTACCATCTTATAGTTATGACTGCCAAATAGTTGCACTATTATGCATTAAACATGACAATAGTTACTAATGTATGTAGTTTTCAATCATGACAGTAACGACTCATATTTTAGAAAGAAAATATAGCAATAGAATAGAATTTCAAAACTTGTTTACTTATACATTTGGGTAAAAATTGGGCCGAAAAAACCAAACCCGCCCCTAAAATAAAGTGGAGCATGGAACAAAAAGAGAATTTCTCTTATTCTCTTATTCAGTCTCAAAAGGCAGCACATGCTAGAGTTTATCACTTCCCAGTTTCTTTCAAGAAATTCCGTGTCGTGCATGAAGAATTAGCAATATTCTTCTTCAAGCAGAAAGTACAGTTGCCAATGGATTATTACTATCTATTGTCGTGCATGAAGAATTAGCAATATTCTTCTTCAAGCAGAAAGTACAGTTGCCAATGGATTATTACTATCTACTCCATCGCTAGATTTTGTGCAACTGATAATTATAGCGACAATGTTCACTGACAATCCAATCTCTCGACATCCACTAACTGGTAAAGATCACCGCGCCTTTGCTTCTCCAATGGCAGATTTGTCCTGTGTGCATCAAGCAAATGGAACAAGTTCAAAATGTAACTGAAAGGTGAGCAAGAACATAAACAAATCTACTCATCACAAATCTTACCTCCTAAGTTCAATTTGTGAATAATCTATCTCCGATATTATTATTGCCTCTTTATGCTCAGTGGTAGCTACTATTTCCCCGAACTGCCAATCAATTCACCACAAATTAAAATTACAACAAAACATAAAATTTAAATTACTAGTATCAATTGCTAACAATGAACTAGCAACATATAGTTCTAGGATGAGAGTAGATTGTAAGAGTGAAAACTTCTCCCTCCACTCCTAACTTACATGGCATAGTAGATTAGTAGGATGGTCTTCTAAGTTAGTAATTTTTATACTATCAATGTCACACTTAAAACTCTCAAACACATTTCCTTGATAAATGACTAAATCTTTAAGGGCACAATAGAAAAGTAAGATTACTTTAAATACTTTTAATCATATTTCTTTATTCTGTGCAACTGAAAATTGTGTCTTGTAATCAGGACTGGAGGCAGTAAAAATAATAATTGTAGGAGAAATCTATTTTCTTCTTAATATTCATCTTGTGTGGAGAGACCACTTGTAAAATCCAGCATCTCAGTAGAGAATTATGTTTGTTTCTCCACTGATCCCACATACTCCGTATCAATTTTGAGCATTTAAGAGGACAAGAACATGAAGAAAGTAAACTCACTGGTCCAACAAGTGTAGAGTGCCCCCAAGCCACATATCCGGCGCCAGCATCTCGAGCAGGTGAACATGTTGCTACATAAAGCTGCAAAATATATTCATAAACACTTCGTCAATATTGTGCAACATGTCAGTACTCACTCTTGGATGAATTGATTCCACTATCGGACTCCACCAAATTAGGTGTTTAGGACATTCTTACTAATGCTCTTGCGTTTTTATTTTTCCACTTTTGTCATGGTTATAGATTTATTGATCATTTATGGTCCATCAAACCACGTTTTCGGCCGAAGTCAACCTGAAGTTTTACAGAAATTGGCTGACTTAAGTGGTCAGAACTCGGGACGACGGTAAGTGATTTGTGGGACCAAAAGTATAAAGACAGTAGTTGGAGACCAAAAGTGGAATTAATTCATCTTGGATATTCCTTTTGTGTTTTTCTTCACTTTTCTGAATATTTTGTTATCCATTACATATTTTAAGAGGCACAACAACAGCAATGCCCTTTAGTAACCAAACTAACCATCGTACACGCTCTAATTTGTGAGTTCTGATTTGTGTATAGAAAATCATATAAACGAATTTGTGTGATATACTCATCCACATTCCAGCTAGGGAATGCAGTATAAGTACTTAAGACTAGTCAAACAGAATAGTATCACACTAGTCTGATACAAGCTGATTCGTCGGTTAGTACCATCGACATAGAAAGGAGACTAATTAATTGGTCCACAAGTTATCTTGGCTACTTCTATTTAATTAATTTTCTTTATCCCAGCCATTTCCTACTATTTAGCTTTCCATGTACTAGTATAAGTCAATCTCTTATTTCTGAGTTTTTTATTGTTTAGAACTCTTACCATTTCTGTTTCAGGACTCTGTCATTTTCCTATATAAGGCTTATCACTTGGAATAATAACTAGCTTTGGAAATACTTAATCTAACAGTCTGTTGGTGGAACCATCGATCACCTTCCTTGCCTACAACAGGGAAGTTTGTTTTTTTCCCTAACCCCATAGCTTCAAAGCCTCATTTGATAAGATATAGATCTAGAGAAAAAACGAGAGCAAGATACCTGATTATCTGCAGCCCTGCAATAAGAATGATAATAGAAGTCAGAAAAGATATATCCTTGATTAAATAAAAATATGTACTAGCAGGAAAGGGAACTTCTTTAAAAGAAAAATGACATTTTTACCTTGCCCTCTGTAGTAATTCCCAGTGGAGTGGTCCAGTAGTCATGTTAAAGGCACCGGGATAGCAGATCAAGTGAGCGCCTGGTGATCAAATGTCAGTGATGGCACAACCATCAGTTGGCTGGCAATACAAAAGATAATGCACAAAAGGAGAAAGATCTGACCTCTTGATGCATATAGCATAGCTAGCTCCTGAAATCGAATATCATAACAAATGCCTATACCAATTCGTCCAACCTCTGCAAAGTTCAACAATTATGATGATAAGAATATTAATTACTATTACTATTATTACTGTTGTTCTTATCATCATTCCTTCATATCTAAGGAGAAAACTTTTCCACTAATAATAAGTTTGAATACGCGCCCAAGTACTAAATCATGAGAATGACCTGTATCCACAATTGTAGGAGTTTTCCCAGCCGTGAGAGTCTTCGATTCCATAAAAGTTATTTTCCCAGGAATATCAATATCAAAAAGATGTATCTGTGAAGTAGTCATTTAAACATTAATTGGAACTTGAATTCAATCCAGTTTCACGTCTCCCAAAATCACACTATTTTATTACAATGTTTGTTTAGGAGAGGATGTGAGACTATGCTTGTGAGGTCAAAACACAATGATTTGGAAATTGCCAAAAATGCTTTATGTTACTATTTCAATGCCATCTTCCAGAACAGAAAGACGAAAAGGACTCTAGAAACATAGACATCAATAACCATAAAATTAACAATGCTGTGTATTGCAGAAGTGCAGAACTAGAAATGTCTAACCATATAAGACACTGTAGCCCCAATCCCATTATATATACTCCCTCCGTATTGAAATGTTTGCTACAAGCCTACAATAGGGATTGGCACAATATTTAAGGAAAAAGTAGTAGGGGTAATGAATGTGTAGAAAAAGTAGGAGAGATGGTGGAGAAGTATGAAAGAGGAGATAAAAAATAGAAAAAGTCATGGAAGTTGGGTATTTTTAAAGGGAAAACTTACCAAAAAGGAAAGTGTAGCAAAAATTAAAATACATCTAAAAAAGAAAGTGTAGCAAAAATTTCAATGCGGAGGGAGTAGGTCCTAGGGATGACTATTCAGTCAAGTGTACAGTTTTATCCTTGATGCACCGAAAATTACCTTTCTGTGTTTTGCTTTTAAATTTCCCTGACTATCAAAGACACAGCAGGTGTTGTACAGCTTATCTTCACTTCGTTCTGGTATTGAACCGCCAACAATTGTGACCTTTAGAAGACGAGCAACTTCAGAAAGCATGGCAGTTGAAGGAGATGCATCTGGACCAGCATCAATGTCTTCAGCATAAACTGGGAAGCTGTCATTTGAATATGGACTGTTCCATATTTCCTGGCAAAAGCAAATAAACTATTATCGGAGTACAGACAGCAATAGAAATAACATAACAAACACCAGGTCTTTACTTTGTGTGAGCCTTTTTCAATTTCCTTTCTTTGAAAGACAGAATTTTGCGCCTAATGCAGTGTTCTCTTCACCTTTTTGCTTATTACTTCTTATTTTCATCAACTTAGACCAGAATGATTCAGACCAAAAAAAATTCAGACCAGAAAGATTCAGACCATTTTTTTTAATACAGATAACATGTTTGAACAGTGTAACTCCATGTTAACACTACAGCTCCAAGAGTCCGGAACTAGTGGCGCTAATGCACTTTAACAACTCCATAATAGAGGTAGTTGTGCATTTATCACCCAACAGCCAAAAAAAAGTTTCTGCAAAGAGATTTTGTTTTTTAAGAAACTAAATTTTGTCTCTGAAGTTCCCAACACAGGCTTGAATATGAAAAGGAAGGTAAATAGAATATTATGCCTTAACATGTGGATAAACTCAATTTGGACTGACATGCTCTAACATAACCACAATCAAAGTGGAAAATTGTACAGTGATAGAAATTCAATTTAAATGTTAATTTTGACTCTACAATCATTTCCTAATTAATTTCATCAAGCATATTTGTAAAAAAATCCCATTAGTGAGAGTGATTGTAAATTCACCATCAAGACATCAACCAACAAGCACAAAAATGAGTAACAGTATAGTTGAAAATTACTGACGGGCAAAAGTATGAGCTTGGCTCCCTTCTCCGCAGCCTCTTCAATTGCAGTTCTAGCATGAACAATGTTTACTTCCTTATCCGCCGTCACAGACAATTGGCAAAGACCAATCTTAAACTGCTTATCAGATAGAGACCAACCATTTCAAATATGAATAAAATTTCTGTTAAAATGGATCCATCTTTTCCAATAACTCTAAGTTTCTAACGAAAAATGCATTTAAGAGTAGGAAAGACCTTAGTGACGGGAGGGACGGGTAGCTTGATAGCTGGAGGAACCCTAGCTTGTCCGGGTTGAAGAGAGGCGGCCATGAATGAAGCTGAAGCAGTGGTTGTACGTGAAGGGTGGTGGAATTTAGAGAGTGGGAGGCTGTAAATAGTCGCGGCCTTATGGAGTAAGAAAGGTCGATGGCGTTGCAGCAGGAAGGGCGTGTATGCAGAAGATCGTGGGGGAGAAAAGCCTGAAGACAACACAGCCAGATGAGCTCTCATTTTTCAAGTCCTTTTGTCGCCGGCCGCCACCGTGGCATCGTCAACGCCAAGCTTATCTGCTAAAGCCCCGATACGATGTCGTATGGCTCATGTAGTTGAATGTGAAAAATGTTAGTTTTTTTTAAAGAGAAAAATGTTACTTATGTATATCAAGTTGTAGCATGCGGATATTCAAAAAAAAAGTTGTAGCATGCGGAGTAAAGATTACTTCATATTGCATTTGAGATACCAAGAAGTACACAAATTCACTATTTCGGTGTTAAATGAGTACATTAGCCATATTAAGGCATTAATAAAGTTGATCTGTCTAACATAGTAGTGATATGTCGAAATTAAATCCACATCATTTGTTAACTCCTTCCTGATTACACTTTTGAAACCCTAACCATTCTTTCCATAACTCAGAAGACAACATCGATGAAGTTCTCAAGCTAAAGAAGAAGGGTAACAAGGGTTTGAAAGTGATAATCTGGAGATGGAGAATGACAAATCGAATGAAAGGTACGATGACACTAAAATTACTTTGCTATACATGGTTGATGCATCCCTCCAAGCATGATTATCTATGCAATTTGTTTTATCCCTATTTAATGAGGAACGAATGGCTGACGATCGAAATTGCATAAGGCTAAAATCGTGATTTTTTACACATTACGTATGTCACTGCTTTGTATCTAGACTTGGGCTTTGTTGGAAACTACTCACACTACCAAAATTTATGTGTTTGTGGTTTTGTGCTTTCTTGAAGTGCTTAGTCAAATATTGTATAACTCCAAACATTATTTGTGGTGCATGTTAATTTGTTGGTCACTTACGGTGTGCTCAAACACATTCTGCCAAAATGTGTTAATTCCCTTAATTTTTTTACTAACGAATGAGAGAAATGGTTAATTAAATTGGCTATGTATTTTTAAAATAAAAAAATAGGCAAGGAGTGCAAAGTCCTGATGAGGCAGAGACACATAATGGTGTGAATGTGTCGTTTATTGTTGATCTGGGATTTGAAGATCCACTGCTCGAGGCAGAAGCTGACCTATTGTTTGCAGAGGAATCCAACTCTGACAATGAAGATGATAAGGAATTAGAACATGGTCGGATACTGCTAAGAAAGTTGGTGACCAAGCAAAAGAAAAGTAAAGGGCACAGAACTACTAATAAAAACATACTTGAGGAAGACTTGTCTTTGGAGGAAGATGGGTATGAAACTAATTATTTCAGTTCAAGTGATGAAGGGAGTTATAAATCTGGATTAGAAAATGAAGAAGAAGAGATTGTTAGAAAAATAAACAAATTTTCAAGTTTTCAATTAAATGACAAGGTTGAGTTTTCATTGGGAATAAGCTTTGAATGCAAATCTCAAGTGAAAGAGGCAGTTGATAAATACTCCGTCACTAACAGGTATCCTTTTTATTGGGCCAAAAACAGTTCTACCATGCTAATGGCCAAGTGTTAAAATTTAAATAAAACATGTATATGGATGGCTTACTTTGGCATAGACAAAAGAAGTAGCACTGAGAAATGGATTGTAAAGACATTACATAGTGAGCACACCTGCAACCTTGGGTGGAAAATACCTAGTGCCACAACAAAATGGTTAGTGAACATTTTTTTTCAAAACAAAATCTGGCGTTTCTGAGATGAAAGTAGCCTCAATGAAAGAGATGGTTAAGAAAGAACTAAACTATGAGGTGTCTCTTGACAAAATGAAGAAAGCCAAGTCAATTATCAGAAAGATGGAAAATGGAGACATAAAGGCAGAGTACATCAAATTAGAGGATTATAAGGCTGAAATAATGAGGTCCGATGGAAGGAATACTTGCATCCTTCAGGTCAAGCAGCCCACTCTAATATTTGAAAGATTTTATGTCTGTTTTGATCGATGCTTGCAAGAAGGAATTCCTAAAGGGGTGTAGAATGCTGATTGGAATATACATGGCATTTCTAAAATCTGAAGTGAAGGGTGAAGTTCTCACAACAGTTCCAAGGGACACAAACAACCAAATGTTCCTTGTTGCATGGGCAGTTGTGGGATCTGAGACTAAAGTTACTTGGAAATGGTTAAAGTTGAGAACCTAAGAGATGATCATTTGAAGATACATCCCGAGTTTTGGTGTATGGCTTTCTTGAATAAGTCAATCAAATGTGAAGCCGCTGATAATAATTTGTAGAGCCTTTTAATGGAATGATAGTCCCTGTTAGATCGCAATTAGGGTATTCTCAATTGGAATTCATAAGGAAGTTGGTAATGCAGAGGCTTATCTAAAATAGGTCTTTATAAGGGGATAACTTGATTGGTCTATTAGGTCCCGGAATTAAGTGAAAGATCAACGAAATTGTGACAAAAAACAATTATTGGAGGGTCTTATTTAATAGGTCTGATGGGTATGAATTTCATGTGGCTGTAACACTTACCTGGTAGGCTTGGGGGTAGGAGCTGTTTGTGTGAGCAGTGGGATGTGTTAGGTCCCATAGATTTTGATGATAATGTAATAGTTTTGATAATGCCACCCCTTTTTATTATTCCTGTATTAGACTAGTCTACTACTATGTTATACTTTGTGTAATTTTAATGTGCTCCATACTTAGTGGTAAAGTACTCATACAAAGCAAAGAGTACTAAAAAGAGAAGTTAAACGTACAATAAAACAAGAAAAAAAAGATCAAAAAGAAAAAGGTATGAAAAGAGTTAACTAGTACACATTGTTAGGAAGCCTATTGGAAAACCCAGATTTCGGCAGTCAACTCCCAAGTCTGGCAGCCAACTAAAATCTGGAAATCCAGTTACGACATCCGAAATCCAATTCTCTTTTCTTTTAGCACAAAACACTTAGACAAAAGACCAACTTGCAGACAAAAGAACAATTTGATAAAAAGTAAATTATAAGAGATTTTAATCACATTATAAATTTCTTATAAATTTATTTTACAAAAGCAAGTGTTCGTTCGTTGTAGGTAACATTGAAATATCACTCAGCTTTATAGTAGTTTTTACGTAAGAAAATAATGATAAAATATCTTTTATCTTGCATTGGAATGTGTAAACAAGTTGAGCTGAAGATTGTTGATCCGTGTCACTACGTGACAAGAGATAACCATGCTGCCTCAGTCAAGTGGAACAAAGCAAGTACATCAAGCTACGATCAAGATTCATTTTCTCATCCAACGGTGAAGATGGAGTGATCAAGTCTATAAATACAGAAGGAGTGCGGGATTACAAAGTGTGGTAAAACGAGAGGAGCCAAGTGGATAGAAGGAAATCATACTCTACACGAAGAAATCCAGCCAGCTGATTTCCCTTCTACACTTAGGCTGCCACCCCACTCGTCTAATGCTCTTAGAGTAGCTACAATTCATACAAATCTATAGAGCTTAGATTAGTTGGTAGTTTAGCAATACACACATGTATTCTAGACTAGTGTTAGACATTCTGGAGGGCTTGGTGATCAAATCCAGAAGGTGAGACAGGGCCCAAGGACATGAGTAACTCTTGGCGAGTCAATGTCATTAGTCAAAAACCTTGGGAGGACATGAGTAACTTGGAACGGTGTTTAAGTTCCTTGTGAAAAACCTCACAATCTATGCCTGGGCCAAGGGTAGATCGGGTACTAAATGTAATGGGATATACATTTAGTGAAAATCCATCTGAAATAGGTTGGGACTGGATGTAGGGGAATTACACCACCCCTGAACCAGGATACACTGTGTGTCATCTCTACATTCTGCACCTAACACTTATTTCAGTTCTCACTCACCTTCACAACAACTCAAGTAAAACAATTTGCTCACTTAAACTGTCCAGTGAACTTTCTCAACTCACTGTGAGTCATCTCCTTGTTATCTGTTATTCAAAGTGACCTATCTTCATTGGTCTAAATCCTTCATACTCTTGTGTTAGACTAGTTCTAAAGTTAGTTAAGTGGTTAGAGTAAAGCCCATTGCTATACTTTAACTAAACAAACAGAAAGACTATTTCGGCAATCAGCTCCTAAGGATTGGCAGTCAGCTCTCAATGCTTTCTGGCAGCCATCTCCTCTAGGTTTCGGCAGCCTGCTCCTAGAGTCATCTGTTTCTGGCAAACACGCTTGCTCAATGTTTAATCCATCTCTCTCACAACTAAAAGGGTCATAACCTTTGTTCCTATAAAGTGTCATCCTCTTGAGGTCAAGACTTCCGTTGCATGTATCAATATCTCCCAAAAGATATTGAAACACGTCCAGTTAGAGGAAAGGGGATCAAAACAGAAAATATTTTAACAGTCTATTCACCCCCCCCTCTCTATACTTTTACCTCACTTGGAACTCAGTTGGTATCAAGGGCACTCATCAGGATGTATCCGGAATTCCTTGCAAACATGTGATTTGTGCCATTGGGGATAAATATTGTACAATAGAGGATTATGTTTCCCAATGGTATATGAAAGATATGTATCACCATAGCTATGCTCACATGATGACACCTATAACCAGTCCTCTCTTTTGGCCTAAAACAAACAACACCATGTTGCCAACAGAATTGAAAACGAAGGAACTAGGCCGAGCAAAAAAAAATTGAATTAAGGAAACATGTGAGTACCCTAGGAGTGGGAAGTTGCCCAAGAGAGGCACAAGTATAACATGTCAGTTATGTTTTTTTTAAATTTCACAACAAAAAGGGCTTGCCCATCAAAAGAGGTAATTTTGAAAGGCAAAACATAATTCCCTGTTGATTTAGAAGGTAGTAGCTCAACACAAAGAAAAAGATCATGTGGCCACTGCTCCCAAGCAGGACACACACAAAACAAGTTCTCTTTGAAGACCAACTTAGATCACGTATATATAGGATTGAGAAGAATTATGATTTTTTTTATTTGTTGTTGAAAACTTTGTTTTTAATGTTGTAAGTCAATATATTGAATTTAGGTAACCAACACCGAATCTGCTACTCTTGAAGCACCAATAAATGTTACTGAGAGTAGATTGCAGGCATATTTTAGTGACAACCAAGAAGTCACGAAGAGAAACAATGAGGGTGTGTTTCAATTCAGGGGCACCAACCCCCTTAGTGCACCTAGTTTGGAGGCAAACCTTTATCAATTAATATTTTCAATGTTTATTGAATATTGATGTGTTAACATTTTGATGT